ATCCTGGAGGTGGCAGCTTTTGCCAAAAGATAACATGTATTTCAGGTGGCTTCCTTGGAGGAGTGGGTTGCTACCTGGGATCTCAGGTCCCTGAAGCAGGGCACAAGACAGTCTGGGACATGTCTGGGAGGAATCTTGGGCACATCCCAGAGAAGAGAGTGTCCGTTCAGGGTGAAAAACCTCTTGGGTGTCTTACCTGGAGGAGCCTGGGGCTGCTACCCAGCATTAGGCCTCTCGAAATCAGGGGTCAGAAGACTTCAGGACATGCCTGGAAGGAATCTTGGGTTTTAAATGCCTGCTGCATTTAATGTGACAAATTAATTTGGTAAGAGATGAATCCCCTTGCGTTCTAGTCAGTCCCCAGAGATTAGAGGGGCTGGGGGTCTGGGCTTATCTCTTCATAGGCATGTCAGTTATTGCCATGACTGTCGTCCTGACAGCAGCCGCACGAACAGCCCTGGTGCTGTAGGGCCCGTTCATTCAAGAGAAGCCGTCAGGGTCACCAATAGTACGGTTTATTCTTACGCAACGTCCACGGGTTCTTTGGGATTGCCTTCGATATATGCACAGGCTGCAGGTGGGCTGTAGAGCACTACCCACAAAAATCGATTGCCATCACACACCGTTGCCAGGTAATCCCTCAGCGTAGCCGAGGGCCCAAACCTTACCAAAAGGCGTCCCTTCTGGGGCGGGGGGGGCAGTGAGCTTAGCACTCCAGATTCAAAGACTTTGGGCTGCCCTGGAAAATTATGCAGCAGCCAAAATATCTGCGATGTAAACTTTGTAAACAGTATGCTTCTGTATGAATTAAGACACCCAGTGGAAAAAGACCTCCAGACACCTTTCCTTTTCAAAAGGTCCAAACTGATTATGCTGAAATGCCAAAAACAATGGGGTATACTCTTATATGTAGTGATAACTGATCAGTTAACAGGCTGGGTAGAAGCTTTTCCTGCCAGGAAAAATGATTCAAAAGCAGAAGTAAAAATATTACCTCAGGAAATTAATCATAGGTACGGAGTTCCTGAAGTCATTGATTCTGATCAAAGGGGTCATTTTGCAGCTGCAGTTTTAATTCAAATTTAAAATTCCTTAGGAATTTTTGGTCAATTTCTCACTCCACATCACCCTGAATCATCTCATATGGTCAAGTAGAATGAAGGAACAAAATCTTAAAAGAAAAATTAAGGTTACAATTAAGATTTTTAAACAGACTGGCCTAAAGTGGCC